CGTCATCCGAGATGTCAACACAATTCACACACAAATTCAAAAACAAAATTTGATTAATTAATGTAAACATTTGTTCGTCTCATTTGCTCTCATTTTTTCGGTCACATAATTTCTTAATGTTTACTTTTGATTAATATTTCCAAATAAATAACTCAATTGAAATACTAATTCAATTGATGTTATTATTTGCGGCAAAATATACCGACTCTTCGATAATGAATGCAAAAAAGAAAAATTGTGCTAAACTTTATTTTTATAGAAGAAATACTAATTGATTTCAACGATATAATTGCAAAGAAAAATAAGTGCAATATTGCAATTTGCAGTTTACATTTAGGCCTAATATTAGTGTAAATTTTAATTTAAATATTTATTACACAATTATTTGGCGCTGTATTTGTTGATTGAAAGCAAACATACGGCTAAATATTTATGTCTTGCGACTGGTTTTGATAACGACTCATATCAGCAACAATTGAATTGAATTCTCATCAAAAATGCATCTCATTTTGTGCTAACATTTGTAAGTGTTTTGCTAGAGATTTGTTTGTGCGAAGACATCGACAATAGATATCAGTCCTATTAATAGCAACAAAAATATAATAAGTTTAGGAGTTATATGTTTTCCGATGTATTACATACTAAATAACATTTTCATTACTATATTGGCTTCGGTTTAGTCTCTAATTAAAGTATTGTTTTTTATATAAATTCACTACAAATAGTGATGAAATCGATTTTTTTGTTATTAAAGTAAATTTTGATGGACTGATTAAAATGAAGCAAAACTTTATTTTTCTCTCCAATAAGTCTTTCAAATCTCATTTATCGGAAACTTTAATTTCATTGAATAAAAAAGATTACCGTTTGTTGACTCAAACAATATATACTGCACTATATATACCTATATATCGCGTTCAATATATATGTAATTCACTTAAGAATCAATGGGAACTGGGATTTGGTAAAGACTAACAATAAACATTGTATAAAATTACAAACCTTTACATCATTTGCGGCATTGAATCTAATTTTAGACATTAAGTAAAGCTCTTATCGAAAAATGTTTGTTTAAAATTTACTTTACGACCAAAATTTTATTATATTTTTTCATAAATTAAATTTCTTTAACGAATTGAAAATGAGAGCAAATGAGACGAACAAATGTTTACATTAATTAATCAAATTTTGTTTTTTGTATTTGCATTTAAAGCAGAACTCAACGCTTTTCGATGACATCACCGAAGAGTTCCAAGAGTTCTTCGTCTGTAAAGAAGACACTCGTCATCCGAGATGTCAACACAATTCACACACAAATTCAAAAACAAAACTCAAATGAACACAAACTTATAGACAGTACTAATTCTGTGGTTTAATTGTATATCAATAATAAATATTATTCTGTAATATTATATTCTTTATTAAATATATTTTCCCTATTTTTGTTTAAAGGTTTTTATATTATTTAAATCAATGTAAATATTTTTAATGTAAAATTATTATTTTTAATTCATTAAAAAAGTTGTATAGAATAATGTTATTAATGTTTATTAATCTGAAATAATTATTTAATATAAATTATAAATATATAAATAATAATGTATTAAATAACCAAATATAATTTTTTACATTTTATTAGTAAATGTTTGAAACTTTAATAATTAAAAAATGGACTGTATTTTTAAATTAACATTATAATATAATATAATATTGACAGCACTTTTACTTAATGACAGTGTCTTTGTATTTGCGGAACACGTTTTGAAATCAATATTTCAAGAATAATAACTTTAAACCCAAAGAATACCATTTAATTGATTGAAATAAATGAATATTTTAGAAAAGGTTTTACTATTTGTGACACTATTTATAAATATATATAAATATAAAGAATATTTATTCTAATAAAGGAATTATGAGAAAATGACAATTTATTTTATTTTTTAAAATAAATTATAATTTATAATCAAAATCATTGCTTCAAATCTGTATTTTTGAAGATTTATTTCAATAATAATACAATTCCTGGATATTCTTTAAGTCAAACAAAAGCTCAGTTAAAGTTATAAATTTTTTCTCCAAATTTAAATATTCACTCTTTTGAAAGTAAGAATATATTTCATATAATTTACAACAGAATTATATATTAAACAAGTTTTAATCGATAAAAAGTAATTTGATCTTATATTTTGATAAAATAATTGCTTATATTTTAAAAATATTTCACACTTTTGTTGTTTGCGAAGTTATATATATATATTCTTCAATGATATTCAATAACTATTATGTAAATGAAGTCATCGTTTGGCATAAAATTTAAATTATCATTTCATCAAAAATGAAAAACAAGTAAAAATTACAATTTCTTAAAACATAAATATAATCTTTTTTTGTACACATAATATCAAAAATAAAAGAAAATTAAAAATCTATCAAAAGTTATCATTTAATCATCAATAATGGGATAAAAATGCATTTTATATATCATTGAAAACAAGTAAAAAATGAATGATATTTACAATAAATTGTTTAAAAAAATAATATATAATAAAATAGATATATTAATTGGTGGCGCCTTCGGGTCCGACGGCGTCGTCCACTAATTGCATAATGGTTTTGAAGTGCCCTTTCTTTCCGGCGTGATTACCAAACCATTGGTACTGTTGTGGACAAGTGCTCGAGTGACAGACCGGCATATATCGGGTGTCGGCCTTATTGTAGTTGTCTTCGGTGGCGGCCGACAGGTCTTTGTCGAGATAGTGTTTAACCACACAAGTGTGGGGTCGGGTGCAGGTCGTGGCCGTCGCGTTCTCGCACTTGAAGTTCAGTTCGTTCAACCGCTTCGGCTCTTTCATCCATTGGATGAGCTGTTGATACGTTACGAAATACGTGTCCTTTAGTGTTGACAAGTAATCAAAAAATCTGTTCAACGCTTTTACGTGACCCCTAATTGAATGAATTATCACAATTAATAAACGATTCAAATAATCAACAATGTATAGAAATTGTTTGCTATACTTTTGGGTGAACCAGGTAACATGGAAGTTCAATTGGAAAGGCGCCCGATTGTTGTTGTAATGGCGCTCAAAGTTCTCCTTAAGAAAGTCTGTGATATCATCGATATCGTCGTCATCGGTGGCGTGAGGGAAGACACACTGATCCGCGTGATAGCATGTATTGTATTCATTCCACAGCGGGTTTACAGGGATCTCCCAAAGACCGGGATATGCTTTGGTCGGGCATTTCAGGGGTCGTCCCAAAAATGGTGAGTTTCGGCGAACCCTATGTTTCCTATCGACGGTCTTATCGTTTGTTTTCTTATCGGCAAACGTTGTCTTCTTTTGATTCTTTGGCTTTTTTGCGCTTCTCTTCTGTCGACCTCTGCTCTGACGGCCGAGAATGTCGTCGCCGTCGACGGCCTTCTTCTCTTCGGAGGATTTCTTATTGTTGTGACAATCAAATGGTTGCCTATAGTCCCAAGTGAAGGGCCAAAAGGGTGGCGTTCCCTTCGGGGCCACAACACTAGAGTCGTATAGTAGACCAAAATCACTGGCCATCTCGAACATAGGGTCTCCACCTTTTGGTTCGGATACAAATCAATTAAATATAACATACACTACACATGTATAGCGCAAACGGCAGTACAAAACCTGGTTTAATATACGGCGCTCTCATTCCCACTAAAGTCTCGCGACTGACCGCCGGAACAGAGGAGGAGCCAGAGTTGGCCAAAATGATTTCCCGAATGCCGATCATCTCTTCGGCCCAATCGCTATAGTTTGCATTGTCTGTCCACCAGATTTCCGGCAAACGATGGCTGCCGTTCACATTTGCATTCAATTATACACTTAATTGTAATTTCAATTTGTATTATCAAATTCAATGCTATGAGAAATACACACGTGATAGAATGCATGGCAATTTCGTGCCCCTGAGCGGCCAACCACTGGATTTGGGCGTAATTGGAGTACTCGTGGTTTATGAAGAATGTGGCTTTGATTCCACACCCGTTCGGGTTATGTCTTATTTAGTTAACGATGTTTTGTCATCATTTGTATGGCAACGAGATTTGGTTTTTATGAACAATTAGTAAAATATAAATAATTTATTAAATTTCTCTATAATTACAAACCTATTCTGATTGGCGCCAAACTTATTAGTATATCCCAAAACTTTTTTGTAGAGTTCAAACACTAGTTCATTGAGAGCTCCGCTGAAGTTGACTAAAACCATTTGCGGCGTTTCGTTGGCGTTTAGACCACCTTTTTAGGGAACATAGTTATCGTTAATCCACATCAACCACAGCATAAGATTAGTGACTCATACCGGGTATAGAAGTGCCCTCTTCTGAACAAAAGCAATTGGGAAGTTGGCATTGGGTTGTGTCACAAGTGAGCAGTTTGTCCTGATTCCTCTCCAGTTCCTCTTTGCGGGTCTCCTCTTCGCTGACGGGTCCGCACGTGAGTTGCGGTGTTTTGAACGTACAGTACTTGAGTTTGCCGTCAAAGTAGAGACTGGGCGGACACGTCTGCGACCACGCCTTCCACGACCCGCAGAGCATGAATTTGCGGCAACTGTTTGGGTCCGGGAATAGACCGTCCGCTTTGGGGCACACGAACCGAACCTCACCGTTAGAGTCGGTGTCCTTGTCTTCGTCCTCATCATCGGATGCCGGTTGCGATTGCGGTCCTCCGCGCGATTGACTCGGTTGTGGAGCCGACGGTTGACTGCCTCTCCTATTGCCTACATTTTGTGCAGACGATTGTGAGGCGGCCGCAGATGACGGCGCTCTTCGGCCCTGTTGTTGAGTCGGCACTTCAATTGGTAATCATTTTAAATTGAGATATAATTTACCAACAATTTAAAAAATCTTAAACATCTATTGTATTTATACAGTACTTATTTGTTTATAAATTAGACAATTAATTTAAACGTGTTGTATACATGTGTATCTATTAATGTTGTAAATCAAAGTACTGTAATACATATTTATTGTATATTTATTGATAAAATGCTGAATAAATAATTAGCAAAAAATATAATCGAAGATTTTGCTTATCATGCAAGATCATTGTGTATAAACTACTTGTGTATAAACTTCGTTAATTAACAGTTAGTACCGGTATTTATATTTGCCTATCAATTATATTAATGTAAATTTTGCTGTCAAACAAGTGATACTATGAGAAATTAATGCAAAATACAATAGCATT